TTTAGGCTTCTGTAGCTTCCTTAATGAGGCAAGTCGTTATTGTCATCAGATTAAGTATTTAAAAAACTTTACAAATTTTATACTTACACGTTTTGTCATATGAACTATAAGGGCAATTTCTTTCTGCATATTTATATATTATAACTGTATCTGCGTCTATTCATATAGAAGATTCCCTATAATAACCATATACGATTTAATAAATATTAGTCAAGTTATTTTCAAACGTTGTAGAGAGAACTAACTAAGAGTGATAAATAAATAACTAAAAAATCTTTCAGTGTATTTAAAAAGCAATTCTTCCTTCTTATGTAGAAATATATTTTACTATTAATAACAAAGCGATTGTCTCGAAACTTTCGAGTGAAACGTCTTACTAAGAATTAATGTTGTTTAAAATATACTGAAAAGTAGACTGAGTTGAGCAGAGCGGCCGTCCGTTGGTACTTAACGTGTCTCCAAAGTTATTCTTATTGTCTTGCGGCGGCCATAAATAGTGAAACATTGAAACAAGTTAGATTATCCTATCGATACAAACGAAGCGAAGCGAACGATGAGAGAAACTTGTGTAAAAATAAAGATTTAATATCGAGGGAAATTCTCTTTGTCTAGCTGAAAAGTTTTAACGATGAGACTTATTTTCCTTTATATCTTTTATGTTCTTAGAAAAACAAAGCTGGATTATTATTGAAGTCATTTAATAAGTGTAATTATTAATTCAATGGCGTGTCTAGTAAAAATGAGCATACAAGTAAAACTCTTTGAATGATTGATGGTGAAAAGAGGTTGCACATTTCCCTTCCACCATTTGTAAGCGCGTACGCTGTAAGGTGAGAATAAGATACAATAGCACGGCGAACGGGAGCGGGCGCAGATACGGACAAAGACGATGCCGGCAGCTTTTGTATTTTGTGTGAGTTGTGACAAGTTGTAGCGAAGCGGGGCCTAATTAGCGCCGTTTTGTTTACTCGGAGTCGCGTAACGCGTAACGCTAAGTAGGCTTTAACGGGAACTTGTTAAATTATCAAAGTACCAGCTGTGCCAGCGACTTCGTCCGCGTAGAATAGTAACTTTGGGCATCCAAAGGTAATCCAAGCTCCTACCCACGATCGTCTGCATCCCGCCGTTCTTGCAAGTTAATCTTAAAACACAGACATAATATAATGTTGGACGTTCTTTTAGGTAATTTAAAGAGGAACCATTACATCGTACTTAGTTTTGGGTATCTCGACCCATTTTTGCAGAGTACGCATCGGAAACCCACAGAGATGAAAAATTATAATTATTCCGTTCTTCCACATTTCCCGCTGTTTCCTCGCTCCTATTGGCCACAGCGTGATGTCTTATAATTTATAACTTTTCTCGATAAATGTTCTAATTAACACAAAAATAATTTCGATAGAGTAGTTCCCAAGATTAACGCGTTAAAACAAACTCTTCAGCTTTGTATTAGTATAGGTTCTTGGCTAACGTATGTCGACCGGTTCCCTCATAATAATTAGTCCTCTGGCGGGATATCCAACTTAATTGAATCTCTCGAAATGAATAATTCCTTCAGCGAGGCGGTGAGTTCCAGAAATGTTTACTATTTCAGCATTCCGTCGGATAGTTTTATGATGGAATCTGTTTACTTTGCGCTGAATTCGTGAGTTATCGAATATAGCTCAAAGAAGATTAAATTTCTGTTAGCAGGAGACGAAACTCCCATTCGGTTTAAACTTCTGTCGCTTAAAGTTTGCGTTTAAAGATGAATTCATTTTACAAGGAACCTGCAAATTTAAGACATGTTCTTACAGTTGCGGAGTGTGACAATAACAAAAATGAGTTAGGACACTTATTCATGATTTAACTATGGGTCTCCCCGTGACCATGGCTACTGCAAAGCAGGAACGTCGGGCGGTAGTAAAAAATAATTTTCAAACAAGATTAACTAAAATATATCGCATGTTAAACCGTTAAAGTGTTTTATTTAAATGTGTGCTACTGGCGTAAACTGCAGACAGTATTTATTCATGACGTTAAAATTGCAATGTATTAAAAATGTCCAACAATAAATTGGATATAATAATAATACCTAATGATATTTACCTGTGAAACGACATTTTCCTATAACCGTACCAGTCGCGTTAGCTACTTCATGCAAAACATTATTATTTGGATATATTTAAATCAATTATTCATTAAAACATACTTAAGCTTTTGTTTATTGTCTTAGTGGGAATGAGAAAAATGTTTACACATTAAAAAAACAACTTAGACTCTGTACAAATAAAATCCAATAGTAGCTATAACTTTTATGCCGCTGTAAAGGAGACATTAAGTTCATTAATTATGAATAATTCATTATGAATGAATGAATAAAAATTAACGTTTGATGTTGTGAACTAGGGAGTAATTCGGTGCTTCATGTTAGATGTTAGTGAAACTACGTCTAGTGCTATACTGAATTACAAAGGAAGGTTTCAGCTGTTCGTCGAACGCTTGCTTTGTTTTGCTTCACTAACTTATTTATGATATTACGAGCTACGTCCTGTTATTTAATACTGTGTTCAACCACATATTAGTGTAGCGTGAAAATTATTATATACCTTTAATAATTACATAGTTTCTTAAAGAGATAATTCATTGACCATGAGCCTATTTTAGAAGTATTTAATATGTAATTTAAATTAAGTTACAAATTTTGAAGTTAAGTTTTTAAGTATTTATATAAATTAACAATTTCAAAGTAAGTAACGATTATATGGGCATGAATGTAGATTACGCGTGTGAATCATAATATTAAATAAAAGACTTACAACGATGTCTAACGCGATATACCTATATTTTTTCGCACAATTATTCCAAATCCCTTACACCGCAGTCAGGATATAATAAAAAAATAAACGCATTTCATTTTGACCCGTTAAAAACAAGGTCACTTTGTATTGTATGGCTTTTACTATTTTAAAAGTTATTCTTCATTTAAATTAACAATTTCAAAAGTATGGAATTGCTTACAGGTTACGCGGTTGAGACATTAAATCTATTATACATTTCGGTATACGATAAAATAGTATTTTATATAATTTGTTACCTTATATCCTATTATGTAAGGTTTAGATGAATATCTTTATCTTCAATTTCCCCAAATAAGATCTAGGTACGTATAATATTCCGCAGCGAGTCGAATAGAGACCGGAAGCGGACGCATTAGCCCCAAATTAAATGCCCTGAAAGCCTTCCCGGCCTTTGTTCGCAGATTTATTAACGAGAACTAATTCTATGTTTTCGAACATTACTTGCTACGTCTTACTATTGTTCCTTAAACACGTTTTGTATTTCGTGACGATAAAACGTCCTTATTACTGAAAGGAACGATTGTCTTGTCAAATTCAACGTTTAAAGTTATAATATAGTCTACACAGAATAATACTGTTTATAACATATTTGCTCGTAAAGTGGTTGTAATTACACCAATTTCAATATCGTAATGTATCTTATTACGTACTTGTGCAATAATGTAATGTAAAAGGCACGTGTTTTTATAAATAAAAAAAATTACCTATAGTAAGCAAAAGTAACATAACAATAATTGATTGTTATGTTACTTTTGCTATAATATAATATAATATAATATAATATAATATAATATAATATAATATAATATAATATAATATAATATAATATAATATAATATAATATAATATAATATAATATAATATAATATAATATAATATAATATAATATAATATAATATAATATAATAATAAGTGATTGGATCGCAGAAATATAATTGTATAAAAAGCCTTAAAGAAAGTATAAATAGTAATAATATATTTAATAACTCATATTTAATTACATCAGGTAGTTTAATAATGAAAAAAGGTTTAAATGATTTTATTTTCCTTCAAAGATAAACATGATATTTTTTATTAACAACACCATCCATTTAGTACAATATTTCATACGATTTTAAATCCATAATCTAAATCGATAAAAATCGGTTAAAAATTTTTCATAGAATAAGCGGTCAATTGTGTTGACATTAAGTCAATCACTAGCCTAGATCTTCGTCCCGCGCCCCTCGCTCTAACCACCGTTAACATCCTAAAGAACGTTTCTGCGCAGCGTTTCGCGCTTAGATCAGGCTTGCCAAGTTACATCCGCCGTATTGTAACTGCTTTAATAAATAATTAAAGATTTATTTGCTTAACTAAGTTACAATTTTATTAGTTTCCTCGTAAATATGTTATAAAACGTCGTATGACATACGTGCGCTTTGAAAATTACAGGTTCTGCTTTCTTAATATCGCCTCGGCTGTAATTTTCAACTTACCGCACATATATCATAATGTACTTTACGACATGGGCAGGACTTGAACTGGCATCTAAAGCGGTCTGTGCCGTTCCGTTGAACCTAAACACTGTTTCTAGTTTACGCGAGCAGTACACATTTAAATAAAACATTTTAAGGATTTATATACTGTTCATACTTATTGGGAGATTAATACAAAATAACTTATTTGGATTTTTTTGTTTCGGAAATGTTTTATTTAAAAAAAAATTCTCAAAAAATGTAATAAGGTTGCGAAAATTAATTCAATGTACTATAACAGTATACATGAAGTCCTAGACTCTAGTTTCCAGGGTTGAGAGCGAGTAACGTCGTTATCAAAATTCCGCGGAAGCTTTTCAGTTCGCCCAATAAGGCTTTGTTCTCTAAAGGCATTCCTAACTCGGGGTATTTTTAACCCAATACATAACAGCAGTACAGACGGGCAGTGTTTTGCTATAAATAAAAGCTAAATATATAGTTAAAATTCTTAGAGACTCGCCTAATGTATATATGGTAATGATTTTATTGTATTAAAATTTGAATCAAATTTTTACTTTTTATGTATAAACCAAGTTTAATATCGTTTATAAGTATATAAAACTTTATTAACACGAAAATCTCTTTAACATGATTCTGCTATTGGTAGAGAAACGGTAGGGCAATCTGTTCATGGAGTTGAGTTTTAGAGAGATCCTTTTATGTCATTAACTTGAAGAGAACGACCTCGGCGTATTTTGCGCGGACAGATTGGTCTCACACTACTGAATTTGAAGAGCCAAAGGAGGGCGCACGCTTGCAATGCGGCAGGGCGCTTCTAAAATGAAGGTTTTAGACAAGGTCACAACCGTTACCAACCTTGATTTAACTGCGCACTATGACGAGCCCTTGGGGTTTTAGTGGTTGTGAGTCCCACATTCCCTACACCATCACCAGCCCTGGAGTAGGGGTGCATAATACATTTCCCCAAGCAAAAATAAAACAACCAGTATATCAGTTTGCCTCTTACCGGCATAGGAATCTTCCAACTTTCCTCTCCACTGGTCCCTAAGTAATAATTCTTGTCCACGTTTTTCCTGCTATAACCTGCCTTCTCTAAGTTGCCATCCTCAAATCCTTCTTCTGTATTTAGATATCAATTCTGTAATTATAATTAAACAAAAAAAACACTGGTTATCTAGAAGACATGGCTCCTTGTTTGTCGAGAAAGGTCTTCTCTATCGTAAATTTCGGCCGTTAACACCGATCACTAGAATTTACTTTAATAGGCCAGCGGTCATCCCACCGGAACGAGGTGACCTGTATACATTCACAGCCTGAGCTCTTTTCAATGAATTAAACGCGCTCAAGTGAATGAATAAGTTTCTTTCAATTAACCCACGAAAAGCTTACCCTGAAAGCAAGTTCTTTACAGCATGTTACAAAAGTCAAAGGTTTAATGCAATTTTATGCTTTGAATTATTTTGTTTGAATATGCAGTCCACAGATGGGTATAGATCTCCTCTCTTAGTAAAGCAGCTTGCTGGCTAGCGACTAAATTGCTTATGATAAGAGAGACTATTTACTTAATGTACTCTACACGATACGTGATTATATCTCCTACGTTGGGGATGTAATTTTTTCTGAAAAAGCAATACCAAAAATACAGAGTTAATACTTCAGCATACCAACATACATTCATAACTTGGTATTCAAAATCTGCACTCGAATAGAGTTCATTACGCAACGAAGCCATTCACAGAGTAATCATATGTAATAAAAATGTTCTTGGGATCCCTGACTACTTTTAAGTACTACACTTTAACGGTTTAAAACGCGAAATATATTATTTGAAATTAGTGTGTCACGCCTGCTGCGAAGTATCCGAAATGTCGGGCCGTAAATATTTTTCGTCGATCTTTAAAAAAATAAAATAAATATTAATGATAACTGTCATTATACTCGTTACTCTTAAGAGTGTGCTTATTTTGTTTGGGTCAGCGCGCAGCAACAGATTTTTCTTCTTTCTATGGTCTCCTTAATTTCTATCGTCCAAGAATACGTTTTTTAAGTACTATATTAAATTTGTTTTCAGGAACGCGTAAGCCATTGACCCCTAGAGGGCAGTAATCCACCCAGTACAGTCTGCCAAGGGCTTTGTAGTCGTCCGGGGCCACTTCCACTAACCCGATTTCTATCTCCTATTGTTTATAAGTTACTTGATCAGTCCCTTAATTTACGTTATAGATAATTATTAAATTAAATTAAACCTGAATATATTTTTTATTATTCTTTTATTATATTTTTTATTTTTATATTTATTATTAGTCAACCCCAGTTCACTTGATGGTAGGTAAAATACCCTTGCTATTTAATATCTAATCAAGATGTGCTATCGACTTATTTTGGCTTTGGTTATTTGGAAATCCAGAGTCTGAAACCACAGGGCGTTTATACTTCACGGCTTTTTAATCTGTGGACGGTGGTTAGTGACCTGGGCGGAATTTCGATATTCCTACCACCCATTCAATATCCAGATTTTCAGACGAGGTCCATAATGTTTCAGAAAAACTATAAATTGAACAATTAGAAATTCAAACCCACGGCCCGTTGATTATTAGCTAACATTAGACCAACGAGAAATAAGTTCTAAGCATTTGTCGATCACAAAAGACGCCTATTAACAATTAAAAATTCGGTTATCGGAAGCATTAACAAAAAACATTAGCATAGTTGCGTAAAAATACGTTAACGAGAGAAATTTGCAACAATTACAAAATGGAGTTTTCTCATTATTTACAAGTAGCGGGCATAACAAAGAATGTGATTTTTTGCCAAAGCTTCCGCTTACAAAGCACGCGGTAATTAATTTGCGATATAAGAGTAGACGCGGCACATACTACCCTCAAAATAAAGTATGAAAACTAGTTTTTCAGGGCAGGCATACCGTACAGCAGGTATAGTAAATGTAATTCATATAATGGTAAGTAGTAGGAGAAGTGAGAACAATGTGTTGACGGCTTATTAGCGGTAATTGCGAGCGTGTGCGAGTTTCTCTAATTAAATTCCGTGTCTCCTTGTTGCGGTGAGCGACTTTCATCACCCTATTGTTGTTCAACCTGTCTTCAGACCATTTTGTAGATTTCCTCGTTACATTCAAGATTCGCTTGTTTTGTTCTTAATGTTGTGTAGGACTATTTAACTTTTTTTAAGTTATGATAACTTTTCAATATATTATAATCATTATATAAATCACAAAATTTATATTTATATATAATAAAAATATTTAATACTAGCTGTGTCAGCGACTTTGTCCGCGAGAATCGTTATTTCGTCATCCAAATTCGTTTTTGCAAACCCCTTCATCTTTATAAACTCAAGCTATTGCCCACGACGTCGTACGCGTCCCTCCCCGTCGTTCTTGCAAGTCAATCTGAAAATGTAGACATATAGCTTTCATAGATCATTTAAATAGAAATCATTTCACATATCTCGCTGTATTTTCGCTTTTATTCGTCATACAGCGATGTTTTATAGCCTATAGCCTTCCTCGTAAATGCTGTAACTAATACAAAAAGATTTTTTCGATTATCGAAGATTAGCACGTTCAAACCAACAAATAAACTCTTCAGCTTTATATATTAGTATAGATATAGGTTGAAAGAAATCGACGTTGACGTAAAGTACACTGCAGCTCAATTAGATACACTAGCATGGAACGCGGTGAATGCCGGTTCAAGTGTTGCCAGTGTCGAAAAATTGTTTTCTAAAATCGATTTTTTAATTTAAATACATCATGGTCGCTGAATTATTCATACTATAAAGTAAATTAATGTGAAAATAAAATTTATTTTAACTTCATCTACTGGACTAATCTGTTAAATTTTTAAATTATAAAAAAAAAAAATATTTTAAAAATCGAAAATAAATTGAAAAAAAATTTCGACTCGGGCAGGACTTGAACCGGACTCGGTAGCTCAATTGGTAGAGCAACAGCACGGAAAGCTGACGATGCCGGTTCAAGTCCTGCCCGAGTCAAAAATTTTTTTCACTTTATTTTCGATTTTTAAATTATATAGTGCCTTCATGTGCAATAACATGTGAAAAATATTAATGTTTTCAAACGATATAATAACAATATGTTAATAGTAATAATGAGAGGAAAATTAAATCAACAACAAGTGGTCGAACGCGATGGATTTTTTATGCGTAGTTTTGTAACACAATATTAAATACTGCTGGTGCCCTCGACTTCGTCTACCCAGGATTAGGATTACATAGTATCGCGCATTTAAACTCAATGATGGCTATCATATCATATATTACATAATTATGTGTAACTAACGTTTATGGCAGCGCACGCCGGAATAGCTCGCAGAAAGGTAGGTTTTTGACACTTAATGTCATATTTTGGATAGCTCACACAATATCTTTATAAATTGTAGCCTATGTTTTATTCTGATGTATAAGCTATATTATTGGAAAGTTTAGTTGAAATCCATTCACTAGTTTTTGTGTGAAAGAGTAAGAAACATCCATCCACACATACAAACTTTCATGTTTATAATATAGGTAGGATATAGATCATATTATATTATGGTTATGGTATTTTTCTCACAAGCCAGATTCTCATCATATGACCTCCGTTATCTTCGAAATATTTACTATTAGATTAATATAACATTTATCTCATAATTTATTTATCATCAAAAATTACTTTTCATAGCAAAGGTTAAAGGTTTTACCATTGATAAACAATTAACATGGACCTCGCTCCACCAGGGTTGACTGGTGACCGGATAAAAGTGATGAAAGGTAATAATCATCGAGGCTGATGTAAAATCGTTTGACGTTGTTTATTGGGCTGAGTGTAAATTATTAAGTAAATGAAAATGGCACTGTTTCAGCGCAGTAATTTGTATGGCCGTAATTACAGCGGTGGGAGTCCGAGGGGGCGGCGTGGCGGGGTGGCGCGAGGGGAGGGTGTGGCAAATTGTTTCGTTTTGTCTGATTGAACTGACGAATATTGTATTCCGATTCGCACAACAATTTCTCGCTATTCCCGTTATGGAGTGTGCAATTGCTACATGCCTCATTACTACAATTGTTAGTGAACCCTTAATAAGGCTTATACAACTTAATATTTTTCTTATATTCAATTTCAAATGATATGAGATGATTATAATTTGTATATTACATGTTAATTGAATAAGTTCGTATACAGTACCAAATACGCAAGTTACACCGGGAGTACGACTAAAGAGTCGGCCCGTGAAAGCGTAATTAATCTAAGTCAAATTATTCTTTATTAATAAATCGTGAATAAATCGACGGGCAGACGGAGTGACTGTTCCGCTGACTGGATGGCTGGTGGGGAAGGGAGGGGTGGGGATGCTGACGAAGAGTTTCAATTATAATTAGAATCCTTTCGCAAGTCGTTGCGGACGCGAGCTGAATTATGAGGGTTAGAGACAAATGATTATTAATAAAACATTATTTGATTGACGCTACGAAAATTCCACTTCACTTGGGAATAAACACGGAGAATGGAAAATTATTCGCTATCGATCTTTTGAATCAGTAATTGTTTTTTCAATTAACAACAAAACATAATATAATTACTACAGCTACTTTAACAGGCTGAATATTAGCGGTAGGGTCATCACAAATTTTCCAGCTATACCATAAAAATAAACTTTGACCCACCACACGTTTACCGTGCGGGATGGTGGGCTTTAACAACCCAATTGTTGCAATTATTTGAGTGATAACCGCGGCCGACGGTTAGATATTAATAAATCACCTAGTTTAACCTTGTTTTTTCGATCCTATTTTTATAGTAAAAATAAAATTCGTGATTCTTTTATCGTAGACAGTCGTTGAAATTTGTAATCATAATCGTGGTTATGTTAACGCTTTAAAGAGCTTACCGACAAAGGTTTTTATGTACCTTTGTCTTAAACTTGGGGGCACATTATATATAGCTTCTGCGTAAGAATATAAGACGAAGAGCAAACAAGGAGTTTCGGATAAAGCTGATTAGATTATTTGTACTCTCACATTTGACTTGTCTATTTGTTCAACGGAGTCAGTACTCTGGTCTCGCGGGAACGGCCCGCGGAGAATATCTTATGATACAAGTGTATATACGTTCAATGTATTATAATACAGGACATTGTTTATTTATTGCTTGCTTCTACGGGCAAAAAGCATCATCCATGTTTAAGTTTTTCTTTATCTGAAATACATTTGATAAAAAGGAATCGAAGTAATTTTTCTATGATATAACCAACATACACATATAGTAGCAAATAATACCAAGCGAGGTTTGATGACCAGCAACACTAAAGTTTCACGAGGTGACTACGACCACTGCTTCAAAGCATCCGAAACGTTGGACCGAAGTTTAAAATAAAACACTGTCTATAGTTTACGCGAGTAGTACACATTTAAATAAAACACGTAACGGTTTAAAACGCGGTATATTAGTTAAACTTATTTGAAAATGATTTTTAACTTCGGCCCGACGTTTCTGATGCTCTGCAGCAGGCGTGGTCACGCGGAAACCGTTAGTGTTTTATTTAAATTTGTACTACTCGCATGTATGTGTACTACTCGCGTATTAAACTTAAAGTTTTAACCATAATTGATATATATGTATTAAGTACTTTATATGGCCATATGTATATGTAAGTCTG